CAACTCTACCTCTTAGATTTTCAGATTCAGTTACATGGAAAGTGAGTTATAGATTAGGAAAAGTGGCATTCATTGTTGGTCATATGAACATCACAGACACACAAAGGGTAGAGACGGGGGTATCTGAGAAATTTAGTATATAAATTTAGAGTAAAACTATCATGGCAGCTCTCTTTGAGGCTAAATAATTTTTAAAATAAGTGATATAGTCACCCAGGGAGAGTGTATCACAAAGATTCTGTTTTCATATCACTGTCAGGGGTCCCTACAGAGAGAGGGTGGTGGTCTCGTCAACCGTAACAAACAAGAAACAGTCTTGTTGGAAGACCGGGTGCAGGTCACCAGTTCTGTAGGTGCAAAGCAACTGTAGTTTAAAAGTTAACCAACCCCTTAAAACTCTCACTAGTAAATCCCTACTACTTTTTAACAGTGAAGAAGAACCCAGGCTATGTGGATTTAAAATGCTACGTCAAAGTGTTGTGTGTGACTTAACCTAGAGAATGTTGACTCGCTGTAACTTCAAAAAAACTTAGAAAAATAAGAAGGTAATGTGTAGGTCAAAGGTCTACTTCACAGGGAACAAGGACTCCCATTAAACACCACAGTCCCAGCCAACAGGAAAATGCTGGGACCTGCTGGGGCCTGTCGGTGCTTCCCAGGTCCTAGAGTGTTTCCCAGCACTCACTGCGCACGCAGGAGGCCATCTAGCCCTCGTGTGTTTTCCCAGAAGCCCGTTTCTCTCCCTCCCTGGCCTCCTCGCCATGGGCTGTGTCCATCATCGGGCGTGATCTATGTGGCAGAAGTTCACACAGCTCCCTGGGGAAAAGCCTCAGAAGGCCGGATGGGCTATTGAAGACCGACATTTCCCCCTTCCTTATGAGAAGGATTTTAAATGACCAAGTTTTCTTTCTCACCCCAGTAACAGTTTCTCTATTCTAAAGAGAATTTTTAACTTCAGTAGGAAACACTGCAAAGCCTTTACATTGATCTTTCTTGATCTATGTTTATATATTTTAAATAAAAAACTTATATAAACAATACTATTGGTATGAATCTCCGATCAATTATTGGTATGATGGGATTGCAAAAGATTTTCGTATAATTTTCAGCACGTGTCATTTGAAATATCAGATGATGCTAAAGGAACTGAAAGGGAATATGACTTTTAAAAAATCAACTTAAGAAAAAAGAATCCTAGAATGTAAGAAAAGACACAAACTAAAATATAGGTACGAGTGGCAAAGCAATTGTGGACATCAGAGCTCGCTGCAATAATAACGCTTGCCTACTGTCATTTTACACCAGGAAGGGCAAATCTCAAATGCTCTGTCATAGCAGATTATGAAAAAGGGGTAATACACATTTTCTTAAAACCCTATTATTTCGGAGTTTGGTATTGTCCCTTTTGAAAAATGCCATTTCTCTAGTTAATGAAAAATGTTAACAGTGCACTTTGCTAAGCAGTTTTTGAGGTTCTAAATGACTGGTAAACTGAAACACTTCATCTATCTGTCTGAAAAGCTATAGAGAGGCAGCCCACAGGAAGTGAGGGTGGGGTCCCTTATTAGGTTATGATTATTAGGTGGCTCCCTCTTCATAACGGACCCCAGAGAAGTGTGGCGCAGAGCACGATCTGGGCAGTTATGTGCTCTTCCAAGCCCTGTGAGCAAGTCTCTCCTCATTGGTTTTGAACCCCAATCTCTTTAACAGAACGAACATTGTATACGAAGAGGGTGTTAGAATTTGTGTTCTTTTCTTCTCTAAGCAAGAGCAATAACGCCTTAGGAAAATAAACAAAGTGGAGTTTCCAGAGGCCTCTGGTCCCTGACGTGTGCATCTGTGCAGTCCCTCCCACCCATCACGGCGAATCCTGACCCCTTCTTGGTGCAGAACGACAGGAATGTCCCGCACCATCACTGCTACTCTGAGGCAATAAAACACTCAGATAGGCTTTCTCACCTCCACCGATTCTGGGAGGACACCAATCAGCTCTATTCTGCCTACCAGTATGGGCACAAGGGAAGATTGACTTGAATAACGCACAATAATGAGCTAATTGGGATTTTTATTATGCTAATGTCCAAATTCATTTCTCCAAACGAAGAGAAGGAGAGTTCTTATGAATCTTAATTTCTGTCATTGTGTCAGAGGCCTCTCCACTTCCAACACCATTTGTTAATTTCAGATATGCTACTAGATAGCGGAGATGAAATATAAATAGAGATGGTCTCTACCTGCAAATATCTGGAATCAACAGAACTATGTTATTAGGGGAAACTGGGCTTGTTTCGAAGCGGAAGCTTAACCCTTAACCAGTTAAGTGACGTGACTTAATTTTAATTGTTTGTGTGTGTTGTGTGTGTTGTGTGTGTTGTATGTGTGGGAAAACCTTTTGCATTTTTTTTTTTACCTCAGACTGCTACACAGACATTCATTTTCTTCACATGACTGAACCTCTGTGGTGGAGGGAAGTGTAAGTCTGTGCTGTGGGGGTAAGTGGGTGGTGATACCAGCAAGAGGTCCAGAACTTACAGTTTTAAAATATTATAACTAAAGCTTGATGTCAACTCAGATGCCTCTTTACATGAAAGGAGAATACGCCTTGCTTGTGACAATCTGGGCAGATATTCTGTGAAACTGATCAATAAATCAAAGGCTGAAGCAGTTTCTCCTAAGTGGTTTTCCTGCCCTAGTACAAGCACACACACACACACACACACACACAGACACACACACACATACACGCACGCACGCACAAGGACACGCACGCATGCACACATCATCATGCTCCCCCTCTGCTTCATTCTCACTGTCAATTCCCTCTGATTGGCCAGCAGCGTTGAAATCACTCTACACCATCAGTACAGCTGACCCCGGGGATTCCAGGCATCTTTGGTCCATCTACACTCATTCATTCCGCTAACTCATATGCATAAAGTTTGTCAATGGTCTGTGAGGACCTCCACACACCATTCGACAACTTCTTCCAGAAACATGGAGGCTGGCCCTGGGAGCAGGAAGATGTCAAAAACTAATAAAGATTTCTCTTCCTTGGGGTGAACTCTACAGTTGTCTATAAACAAAAACATTTTGTCTTTCTCAGTTAAACGTAAGTTTCTGATCTTTCACTAAATGTACAAAAGAGATAAAGCAGAAAGAGGAATTTCCAGCAATCTTGCAGCAAAGGTGAACCATTTCCCAGTCTCAGGTTTTACTTCATGAGCTTTCAGTATTAGTACATGATGAGATCGATATCAGTAAAAAATCACTGTTATTAATTAAAAATAAGAGTTTGGAAAATTTTATAAAAATAATCTTAGGAATTACAGACATTTTTGTATTTAAATCAAGGTGTATTGAAAAGGCACTCTTACCTCAACAGACTCCTATAACAGGGCACACAAAATCATTTAATAATGGTGGATCTTTCTCATCATGTGTTTAATAATTAAGAAATACATATTAAACAGAATCTAATTATTTATCCAAATTTGTCCATAAGGAATCTATAATATATAATTATACACCATCACATTGGGCAGTTAAGTTTCAAGTTAATAGCATATTACCTGGCTTGATATGTGGACATCATGTTATATCCAATCATCTAAAATTAAGTGAAGGGTCATTATAGAAATACCCATATGAAATATTAACTCAGCCACAGAAAATGAGTTCTAAAATCCCTCCAGAAATGCTACTCAACAAAGGGACACACAAAAACACAAAAAGGTTTTAATGCAATATCCAATAAGCCCAGACGCAATGAAGCCCATGGGTAGAAACGCAATCCTCTATTCAATGCTACAAATGTCCTTATTTCTTTTTTTAAAAGAAAATAATGAGTTTGTTTTTTTCCACCATCACTGCTATTCTTCTCTCTATTTTAACACTATGATTATACTTTATGGCTGGGTAGTCCTCTTAGAACTGTTTCTGGTGCATGTGCTTGAGGAAAGAAAGATAAAAAATGATTCCCAAGTGTAAGATTTCTTAAACTCTCAGGGGTGCAGGATGAGTTTTCACCCTAATCCTTCCTGGCCTGACATTCAGGAAATTACAATGGTCAAATATTACTCACAGAATAAAATGGAAAAAGAAAAGACACAGAGAGTCCAAGTCCCATTTCTTAAAAATTAAGATTTAATTTCATCAACATAGATTTACTATCAACCAACTGGAAAAATGTCTAAATGCATATGTGAAATTTTCTGTAAGCTCATTTTGGACTGGTAATCAAGAGGCTGCAGATAGGGGCTTACACTTGGTTTGGTCTCCAGTTTCAAAACCAGAACCCAGGGACTGGTCATTGGAAGCACTCTCTTGAAGATGCATTAGTGGCTATCCATGTCTCTTGGACTTTGGTAGATAATTTTAGTTAACACATATCACACACTCTATTTCTAGAGCTGTGGTAATAAAAATAAAGAAAATGTAGTCCTTTTGCTTTTTTAAAAATTGATTTCAAGGAGAAGGGAGAGAGAGAGAGAGAAACACTGATGTGAGAGAGAAACATCAATTGGTTGCCTCCCACAAGTGCCTAGACCGAGGATCGAACCCACAACCTGAGTATGTGCCCTTACCAGGAATCAAACTGCCACCTTTTGGTGTATGGGACAATGCTCCAATGTCTTGCGCCACACCAGCCAGGGTGAAAACTAAGCCCTTTTAGAAAGGTTGATGGCCACAGCAAGAGCCAGAGTTTTTAGCATATGTCACAAGAAGCGAGGGCAGAAAACTTGGAGTTCACAAAGAATTCTGGAGCTTTTTGAAAAGAAGCAGGGAGGTCGTTCCGTCTAACCCCTTGATGTTACAAATGTGCAAATTTAGGCCTGGAGAATAGGTGAGTGAAGAGCAAAAGTACAATCAGGTATCTTGCCACTAAGCGCAATCCCCTTCCCAGCATCACCCACTCCTTCCATAGTCCTTCAGATCCCACTTTAGTAAGTTCCTATTGGCCTACAAGGTTCACACAAGGCGACGTCAGTGTGTATACAGACCTTGCATCTGGTAGCTGTACGGTGCCTGTCCAGGCTGAGGGGTACCGAAGCTGGTGCCATAGCTGAGAAAGCCTGTCTGGCCAGGTGACTGCGACTGTGACAATCCACCTTCAGTCTTGATGCCTGCCCACAATGCACCTAAATCAGTTAGTGATAGCTTATCTATCTGTTCATTTCCAAAAGCTGGTAAATATGCAAAAACACTCCCACAATGGTTTGTTTCAAATGTTTCCCAATATTCTCTTAATAATCAAGGGTATATATGCTTAGAGTGAAATACCCTAAACTATAACTTCAATTTAAAAAACTAGATTATTGCAGATTTGAATGCCTACTCACATTGTTCTTTCTTAGTGTTTTTCTGAATTCCATTTTCTATGAAATGGAACTCCAGTGATAGTATTTTTATACTTGTTTAATTGTTTTACAAAAGTTTAAGATCATCTTTCTCCTCTATAGTCAAGAAATGGTCATAACTAAACTTTAAAGTATTCCAAAAGTTGCTATGTTGATTATGGCCAGAATCAAAATCCTCCCCCTCAACCCCCCGCCCTCTAAAAAGTAATTAGATTCTCTAGCCTCATAGCATTTTCTTTCTTTACTCTTTTACCACAAGGATGTTTTTAGTACACACTTATTTTGAAGTCAGAGGAGGCAATTTTGGGTACAGAATAAGCTGCACAAGGGAAAAACTTCCCAATATTCAGATCCTAGCAGGAAATAAGCACACAAAAAGCAGGATATTAAGAACTAAATCCTGTAGAACAGCAAGTGAAGTTGCCCAGTAGTTCCCATTTTGTCCCTTGTAGTTTCAAGTATTTATTCAAATATATTTTTTAAGGTTGCTGACCAACTGACTTAATTTTTTATTAAGTTGTATACTTAAAAATATTTTTAAAATTTTCAATTATAGTTTTATAATATTATATTAATTTTAGGTACACAACCCAGTGAATAGACATTTACATAATTTATGAAGTGATCACCCCAATAAATTGAGTACCCACCTGGCATTATAAGTACTTATTACAATTCAAATAGAATTGATTCAAGTGTAGCCTAAAGTACACATTCTGTTTATTGTACTGTAACAGAAATAATGTATTTGTGGCCTCCAAGTACTTCCTAAAGCCTCAGTTTGACATCCTAGTTTCAGGACTCGGGTCTGGCAGGATTGCTGTACAGGTTCAGCCCTGGATCCTAATTAAAGACAGTCACGAAAGTTCCCAACTGTCCTTCATTCCTACGGGGGGAGGGGGGACACTTCTGCCAAGGGAATTCACATTTTTGAATAATTTCACTTTGCACTTCAGATAAATGATATCTCAAATCTTTGGGATCTAGAATACACAGTAGCCTCACTGTTTATTTCCATTTTAGGGGAATGAAGTTAGGTAGAATGCATCAGTAGAATGAAGTTAGGTAATTTTCCTGAGGCAGTTGAAGAATCTGACACTTGGCTGAGAGAAAGCCTCCTCTAATTCCTGCAGTATCACTAAATAACCTCATAATGGCCATGACATTTAAGTCTTACCCTTAACGTTTTAAAAAATGTGATTTTCTCTGTATAGGTCAGCGATGGCGAACCTATGACACATGTGTCAGAGGTGACACGCGAACTCATTTTTTTTGGTTGATTTTTCTTGTGAAATGGCATTTAAATATACAAAATAAATATCGAAAATATAAGTTTTTGTTTTACTATGGTTGCAAAGATCAAAAAATTTCTATATGTGACACGGCACCACAGTTAAGTTAGGGTTTTTCAAAATGCTGACACGCCGAGTTCAAAAGGTTCGCCATCACTGGTATAAGTAATCCTAACCAATGAATAACCCATAAATAAATAAATCCTGGTATAAATAAATCCTGGATGGCTCTATGGTGTGATGGCTCTAGAACCTCCCACTCTTCCCATATTGTCACAATAGGGATCGCCCCCCTCCTCTCTCCATCAAGGCTATAATGATCTGCTTCCAGTCTCTACCTGAGCCACCTCTGCTGTTAGCCTGGAGGGATAGGAATCTTTGCGTTAGAAACAGGTAAGGAAAAGCAGGAGGGGGTAGAAAAGGCCCATAGCCACGCCTGTCTCTGTAGCTTCTACCCACAAACTGGCAAATCCATCTCATTTATCAACTCTAAGCAGGTCTACTGAGGACTAGTATGAGCTCTTCTTCCCCACCGATCTATTGTTCTAACTATGAAAAGATTTGCCTATCTTTTCTTATAGGGTCTCAGTAAAAAGTCGGGGGGGCACAAATCCTTGGAGAACATCTTTGAAGACCATTGGAACCTTGACTATCAGCAGTTAAAAACCCTGAACTATGTGCTCAAGCAATGGGGAGAGGGCTGCCATATTGTTTGATGCACTGACCCAAGGAAAAAATAGAATGCCTGGTCAGAAGCACTGGGGGCATCCCTTTGTAGTCAAGGCCCAAAAAGAGAAGAAAGAAGGTGATCAGGAAACTTCTAAGGACTGAGAATCCTTCCAAGAAGATTTATAAGCATGGAAGGCCCAAGGGTCAAAGCCCTTTACAAGGAGCCTTGTCTGACCTCCTCCCAGCCCTACCTGTCATATAAACTTCCCATCCTTACTCTACTAGTTCTGATTCTAATCACAGAAACTCTGCTCATCTCACCCACCAGGAACAATCGTTTCAGACAATAGAGACATCTGCTAATGGTTTGGAACTGGAGGAGGCCCTACACCACAGCCCAGATGGTGGCAATGGGCCCTATCATGACTGAATTGAATGGGAGGGAGATGGTGAGAGGCAGCCCAAGCAATACCAGGAATGGTACCTTCCCACAACAGCGCTGGCAGGTCTACACTACGCTAGCATGGTCTATATTGGAAAAGATACAAACTTCAAATAATCAGCTTACAATAAAATCTGAGAATATACCCTGGGGAATCCTTAACTCACTGTATAGAACTAAAGCTACACAATTTAAATCATAGCAAAAGAATAGTTAAAAAGTAAATTATAGATAAATTTGATTTATAGCTAATATTATTTTGAGAAACCTTGAGTCAAAGTTATGGAAATGAAATACAATTCTAGGAAGTCCATTGTATGGCTGTTTTTTTTAAAGTCTAGTTTAAAAACATTTAGCTAGATCACATTCAGTGCTGATAGTTTTGAAATAAAACTATAAAGGGTGAAGTTATATATAGATAATTTAGATTTCAATTTCTAGATATTTTATAAGAAATTTATATATGGTTGCCTTGGTTTGGGGTAAAGACAGAAAAATGAAAGAAATGAAGTAATTTACCTTCTAATTATTAATGAAATGCTTAAAAACATTTCTTTCAATATACTACAGAAAAAATATACTATAAAACAATAGCAGCAGAAGCATAATTAGAATATTGATCACAAAATATAACCCTTTGCAATAAGCACAGAATTGCTTATTCTACCAGCTCTTTCCTCCAAAATTAAATACTTTTTCTTGATAAGTTTTTATGTATTTCTTCATAAAATGCCAATAATTCATACATTTCTATTCAAATGGGTTGCAATTTGTTTAAAATTAGAATTGCAATTCAACTGAAGAAAGGGTATTTTGAAATGCTACGATTCTGTAAAACTAAACTTGGGAGGTTTTGCCTGACTTATTTTTAAAGTACAGGTATTGACCCTGTAACAATGGAGCTAAATTACCTGGAGATACAGATAATCTGCAGGTGAGGAGGAACAAACGGGAGGTGAGCTTGAACCGCTTCCTGATTTGCCTCTTTAAAGCTGTGTAGCTCACTTTTCCTAACGGTGGATAAGGCTGAAATGTGATCACACTACCACCCTCGAGTTCAGAGCGAGGGTTTGTTGAATTCCGCTTGTACTTCCCTAATCGTAGCCAGGCATCTGATAAATAGGAAATGAATCTTTACCCCAAAAGACTTCATTCACAGACGTTTTATCGCAAATATGCACCCACATACTTTGCATTCCAGAGCCAAGCGCTCAAATGGCAAATGAAGAGGGAGCTATAAATAGAAGGAAATGAGAGCAAGAGGGCCTGTGACCCTCGCCATCCAGTTGCCACCTCTGACCTCAATATAAGCAGCCACCAGGTCTCACAATGTCCACTTGAAACGATCGCATTAGGGAGGTAGGCACAAAAGGTGACAGCGCTTTCTAAGGTGGCCCAAGATGGCAGTCTTTCCGTGCCACTCAGGTAGGCCCGCCCAAGAATGGCACCCCTAAACGGAAAATCGGACTTACTCACCATATGAGGAAATTCCGTATGGCTGTCCCGGCTGTGGGTAGGTGGCGTAGGCTGTGGCTTGCTGCATTCCTGTGGTGAACTGTGTTTGCCCATATGCAGCCATAGTTTGTGAGGAAGGGGTAGGGAGAATATGTGGGTATGCTCTGCTATTTGTCAGAAATGACAGAAAATGAAAGCCCATGCATTAGATGGAAACATGCAAGGAAACTGATTCACAAGCATTTCACAAATTTCAGTTAGACTATCTCTGCAAGTACAAGTTCAAATGTAAGATACAAAGTGCTGAGAGACCTCCGTCTCCACCAATGAGGCCCAAAACAAATTTGCATAAATACATTAAAGTCTCTATGAAATGCACTTGAGTTTAAATTAAGATGTAACGTGGGCACAGGACATGACTGGAAATAAGGTACAAGGCTACTCAGAAAAAGCTACTTATGGAGAGAAAATACATCTTACTTGGAAGGATAGATCTGTGGTGGGGAGAACTGGTGAGTGGGTCTTGGGCTGAAGCTGCTGCTCCCAATTGCTGAAAAAAAAACAAGAAATGCACAATGATCAGAGCAAAAGACAAAAATATGTATCAAGCAGGGATATCGTTTGAACTGTAGGTTGACCACAGAGATTTTTCTAACCTGTAGAAATAGAGCCGACCTAATAGAAAGTAAAACCACATTAAGAAACCTATAAGAACTGATGAAGTGGTTTTAAGTTTAAATGAACTCTTAGAAAACATAGTCACAATCTTCTAAAACACCTGCCAGCATGCTGTGATGGGCTTTTTGGTGGCAGAACTTGAAGGGTACAAGGAGCCCTGGCTACTGTTTGGAACGATGCTGAAAGGGGAGATGTGAAGTGGGATTGCGGGGCTGGGCAGGACCCAGAAGGTCACCTGGCCTATTGTTTCTGCTCAACGGGAACACACACCTGGGGCTGGATTACCAAGAAACACGGTCTAATCTTCTCCCCAGTGAGCAGAAATAGGACAGGTCCTCATTTGCCTGCACTGATTTAGCAATATTTCTGCAAAAATGCATTCCTATAACTATCTTAAATTTCTCAAGTTGCAAGCTGAGCCTGTATTTTCTTGGCTGCGGTGGATGTTCCTTTGCCTTCAGTTATAGGTGCTCAACTTCAGTGTCCAAATAAAAAGCTGTGTGTGGGGTTTTTTTGTTGTTGTTGTTTTTTTTTCCAAAGGGAGCATTCAAGCAGAATTTTGTTCAAAAAAATCACATACATTTAATTCATTATGTCTCAGAAATGTACTAAATTCTTCTATCAAATGTTCTCTTACATTCCTCTGAACAAAAGAAACACAAATCCATTTTTGCTAACAGCAGGCCTTAAAACGTTAGTTTTCAGCTTCTTTTGCTATACATAGGGCTGTTTATCTATGTACATATATATCTATCTACATTTTAATTACATACATACAGACATATATAATACATATTATATATGTAATGTATATAATATATACTAGGGGCACGGTGCACGAAATTCGTGCACTGGGTGTGTGTGTGGGGGGGGGGGTGTCCCTCAGCCCAGCCTGCCCCCTCTCACATACTGGGCGCCCTCAGGTGTTGACCCCCATCACCCTCCAATCGCAGGATCGGCCCCTTGCCCAGGCCTGACGCCTCTGCCAGAAGTGTCAGGCTTGGACAGGGGACCCCCATCCCTCCCCGATCACTGGCTCTGGCCCCCGCCCAGGCCTGAGGCCTCTGGCCCAGGAATCATGCCTGGGCAGGGGACCCCCATCTCCCTCTGATCGCTTGCTCCACCCCCCGCCCAAGCCTGACGCCTCTGACCCAGGCTTCAGGTCTGGGCAAGGGGACCATCATATCGCCCCAATACCTGGCTCCGCCCCCCCCCCAGGCCTGAGGCCTCTGGCCCAGGTATCAGGCCTGGGCAGGGGACCCCCAGCCCCCCGCCAGGCCTGATGCCTCGGCCAGAGGAGTTGACCCTCATCACCCTCCAATCATCAATCACCGGATCGGCCCCTTGACCAGGCCTGAGGCCTCCAGCAGAGGTGTCAGACCTGGGCAGGGGACCCCCAGTTCCCCGCGGTTGCAGGCTCCACCCCTGCCCAGGCCTAACGCCTCTGGCCTAGGCGTCCGGCCCCGGCAGCGGGGACCTGCAGTGGCAGCGAGGGGTGCCGCGATCGCACGGGCTCCGCCCCTGCCCCTGCAGGACACCTCTGGCTGAGACACCCGGCCCGGGCAGCGGGGACCCGCAGCTGCAGCGGCCCTGCGATCGTGGGCTCTGCTTTAGGCCCAGGCAAGGGACCCCTAGATCCTGGGACTGCCAGCTTCGACCGTGCCCAGCTTCCATCACTGGCTCCACCCCTACTTCCTGCTATCACTGGCCAGGGCGGAAAAGGCACCTGATTCTTCAATCATGGCTGGGGGACAGGGCAAAGGCAGCCCCAGGGTTTCCGATCACTGTCAGTGGCAGGGGTCTTCTAGGAAGCCCCCTTTCACCTCCCTGAATTGTGCCTTTCCCTTTTGCCTCCCTGAATTGTGCCTACAATTTTTCTCTTTTATTAGTGTAGATAATGTAATGTGTATATATATATATAGTTTCCCTCAAACTCTATTCTCTGCCTGGCTAAAATGTATGTTCTTTGATTCTTTGGGTAAATTATCACCAGATGTAATATGTTTACTTTCTTCTTCACTAATAATTCCTCTCTTCAGAGGTTCTATTATTTACTAACTATAGTCTTCATTAAAACCCTTCTCAAGTTTTATTGTTCATGATGTCACATCAGTACATTTATGCCTCTCAATGTAATTTTCTAACTCGTGTTTGGGAGAACATTGGTGGCATTGAACTAGAATCTCGAAATCTATGACTACCCCTTTCCTTGGAAAGCCAGCAGGCCCAACCCAGTGACAACAGAATAGATCTGGACTGGCACCCCTCCTTCTAGCTGCCAGACTTCAACCCTGTGGCCGTCACTGTGGCTGAGACGGGGTCCAAACTGAAGAAATGGCTGGCTGACCCACTGATGTCCCTTTGTCCTCAGGCACATGTTGAGTACCGCTTTGTTCCAGGCATTGGCTAGGTCAGTGATGGCGAACCTTTTGAGCTCGGGGTGTCAGCATTTTGAAAAACCCTAACTTAACTCTGGTGCCGTGTCACATATATAAATTTTTTGATATTTGCAACCATAGTAAAACAAAGACTTATATTTCTGATATTTATTTTATATATTTAAATGCCATTTCACAAAGAAAAATCAACCAAAAAAATGAATTCGCGTGTCACCTCTGATACGCATGTCATAGGTTTGCCATCACTGGACTAGGGGCTACAGGTGCAAAGACAAGTTCTGCCTGCCACAGGCAGGGAGGGGGCACACAAATAGCTTTGGGAGGGTTAGTTCAATATTGCAGTTTAGAGAAGGGAGGGATTAGTGAGAGAACACCAGGATCACAAGGACTACCACTTGCCAAGGTCACCTGTGACTACAACCTTTTCTACTCCCATTTTCTAAGCCTGAATAGAAGCCAAGGGCAAAGGAGATTTATCCCACGGAGTCCCTGCACAATCACAGTTACAGATAAATTTTTAAAAATAAGACTATTACCAAAAAACTACACAAATGCCATCTGACGACGGAAATCACAGAAACCCCTTTTTATTCTTTTCTAGCTCTATCCCTGTGTTTTTCAAATTGTGAGTCAGGACCCATAAAAAGATCATAAACTCAACTTTATAGGTTACACCCAGCAATGTTTTGTTTCAAACAGAATAATAAAATAGAAGATACCAGGGTTATTACGCAGGGTATGAGAAGTTCTATGAGGCTCTGAATTAGATTAAACACATAGTCTATGTGTGTACACACGACAAAAGAGGTTTCAGAGGCTGCAGTGTGTGGTAATTAAACACGTTCTGGAATCAGAATTGAATTTCAGCTCCGATTTAAGTTCCGACTCTTCTATGTGGTCTTAGTCAAATGACTGGATCCCTCTCAGCCTTGATATGTTCTCACGTAAAATGATGGCAATAATACTACCAGTAGGAATGTTGTGAGACTAAATGAAATAATCAACAAAAAGTGCATAATACAGTGTTTCTGTAATATGTTTATTTTCTCAGACACCCAGATAACCACTACCTTTGTCCCAAATTTGCCATTCCTTTTGTGTTTTTACTTCCATGTAATGGACAGCATCACCTTCTGTTCAGCAAAATGCTTAAACAGCAGGATTCTTTTCCCCCATTTACATCTGGGGGTAGAAATGAAGTAACACATCCAAGTGACTAAATGAGAAAGTATTTCCGCCAGCCTGACTCTTTTCATCAAAACATACTATCTCTTGACAGCCTACATAGAGACTAGAAACCTCAAAATCATCTCATTCCCCCCCCCTTCTATTTCATGACTCTCAAGTCACCCATCCCAAATCCAGAAATTGCCTGTTGAGTTTCCTGCATCCTCCATCCCTTCCCTCCCTTCCCAGTTCAGGTTGTCAGTATGTCTCACCTGGACAACCGCAACTGCCCCCTAGCTTCCGTTCCTGACTCCCAGCCATCACCCGCTGACTCCCACTACTGTCACTACAGTGATCTTTCTTTAATGGAAACTTTATGATCATTCTCCAGCCTGCAGTCTGTCCACTGAGCTCACATTATCCCTAGGAAAAATTCCAAATCCTGGGCAGAGTACACGAAATGCTGCAAGCTTCCACCCTCCCCTGGGTTAGTGTTCCATAGCCTCCCTGGATGTGAGGATGCCCCACCCATGCCCTGAATTTTCATGTCATCTCAACTGCTCTTTATACCAGACCCTCTGCCTCGCAATGCTCTTCTCTCCTCTCCTGACTAACACTCACCGCTCTGTTGGGACTAAAACATCATTGTCTCTTTAGGATAATGGCTGCCTTCTCTTTACTTTCTTAAAATGCTATAAACAACGGCAATGCAGCACTCAACACATTGCCTCGCAGTCAGCATATATAGCCTATAGATGTTGGATTTCTCTGCTAACCCCGAGTTTCTGGGACCAAGGACCACTTACTCTATCTCAGCACCTGATGGGGCCTGGCATGTGGTAAGTAATCAATAAACAATATTTGGCCCACCTGGCATGGCTCATTGGTTGAGCATGAACTATGAACCAGACCAGGGCACATGAACAGGTTGTCGGCTTGATCCTAGTGTGGGGTGAACAGGAGACAGCTGATCAATGATTTTCCCTCATCATGGATGTTTCTGTCTCTCTCTCTCCCTCTTCCTTCCTCTCTCTGCAATCAATAAAAATATATTTAAAAATAAAAAATAAACAATATGTGTTCAATGAGATGGTGAGCTTTATGTCATGAGCAAAGTAGATACTTTAAAAACCATAAAAACTATTGAAAAATGGTTAAATTTTTAAAAGTAATTTTATAAACATGCGCAATAAACTTAACTCATCTCTTTGGCAATAGAAACTGGACTAAATAGTATTCTTGTGAAGTAAATGTGAATAAGAACCTGCAATGCTGCCCAAGTGTCTTTTTGCTACTTCCCTCACTG